TAGAATAGAATAGAATAGAATAGAATAGAATAGAATAGAATAGAATATTCTTTATTGGCCAAGTGTGATTGGACACACAATTTTTTTGGTGCATATGCTCTCAAGATACATATGTCATAAATCATAGGTATAACACTTAGAAGTAGTAAATCCTACTAGGAAACATATATATAGGAAACATATAAAACATATAAATCATACTAAATCATATAAATATAATATAATATAAATATAAATAGACAAAGATGCAAAGTTAAAAGTTGGAATTTCAGTTTCTGCCCACAATGTTGCTAGGCCTTTGCGTCGTCCATAATTTGAAGAGGACGATGGAAGAATTGCTCCAAATATATTATTTGGAAGAACGTAGGAGCAATGTCACCAATAAAGTTTTCTAACCATCTCACTGCATTATTAATCCCGAAAATTCTTAGGGAGACATTTAAGATTTCAATTACATTAAGATCCCTTCCTATTTCTCAAGGGCGGTATCTCTCACCTGATACCCTTCCTGCTCCTCCTCTTCCTTTGCCTGATTCAGCAGGAAACCTTCGGCCAGGGCCACCGCCTGGCAAGTGGTCTCCGCTCGGCACTCCCGCACCCAGCGCTGCATCTCCCTGGGCAGGACGGCCAGAAACTGCTCCAAGATCACCCGGTCCAACATCTGAGCCTTGGTGTGCTTTTCGGGCTGCAACCACCCCCAGCAAAGACGATGAAGGCGGCTGCAAAGCTCTCGTGGTCCTTCGGCCTCCTGAAAGGGGCTGTTCCTGAAGTACCAATGTTGGATCTCAGAACTGAGAGCTTCCTTCTCTGGGATCTTCTGCCCAGGTCCTACCCAGACCTCCACACAGTTCCCAGGCTGAGCGGCAGTGGAGTCTTTCCCCACGCCTTTCCATTCTGGGTGGATTGCATCCATTTTGGCCTCTTCTCTGACAGGGATCCAGAAGGACCCTGTGGATCTCTTGGGTCTCCAAAGGTTGTTGTTGGTTTTTTTCAATCTGTTTTCAGTCCTGAGATCCGATGGACTCGCACAGAGAATCCCGGAGAAGATTTTCAAGCCCTTCAGCGTTTACATCTGAGGTGAAAAAGAAAGGAAACTTCTGGAATTACGGATGGTTCTCATTTAGAAACAGTGATGATTGCTTCCTCAAATTCAGGGGAAATTTTGTCTGGAGGGGAGACAAAATTCCAAGACGTTTCAGCCTCAGGGCGACGTCTCTCCCTGTGTCTCATCCCTTCCTCCCCCTTGGAGACCAACCATTATTTTATTTTTTATTTTTTTTGGGGGGGGGAGAAAGGGGTCTTCTGCAGAGGTGCAGCTGAGCTCCACTAACAGTAGGAAAAATAATGGGGGGGGGAGGCCCTTACAGCCTCGCCAGCCATTTGAGGCACAGAATTTGTCCTTTGCAATCCCCCTCCTCAAAAAAAAAAAGCTTTAAATGGGACCGTTTGCAGAGGGGAGGGGGAGAGCATCAGGCAAAAGAAAGGCCATTTCCCAGGATCCTTTCTTGGTAGAAATTCTGAAAAGCAAACCTGGTTTACGCACAATATGAACACAGCCCCCCCCTCCCCCGCAACTCTTTCTCCCACCGTCATTCCCCCCACCTCACCCAGGGTTACATCTCTTGCATGCACAGATGGAGCAGGATGGGGGAAGGGCCCTTTCGGGAAATCCGGGGTTCCCCTCCCTCTCAACTCTTTGGGGGAGGGGGGAACCGTACTTTATCTTCCTCCCTGACAGCATCCACCCCCTATTGGAACGGGGGGGGGGGCAATTTCTCACCCTTCGGGTCGCGGGGGGGTGTCTTCCCCCTTCTCCTCCTCCTCGCCTCGATCTCTTCCCCGCCCCCCAGAAATTCCCACGGGACAACTCACAGCCGCTCCTGCCCAGTGCCAAGCAGACGGGGCGGAGCAGGGCTCAGTAAAGTGAGTGAGCGCCCCCTACCGGCTCCTCTGGCCACGACCTGAGCCTTTTGAAGGTTGGGGTGGTGGGTGACTTTGAAAAGGCCCGTCCTGGCCAATCCCTGCGGACAGTTGCCCCTCCTCCATCCTTTTTTATTTTATTTTATTTATTTTGTCAAGCAATTATAAGATAACAGGTATAAGTACAAACATACTTATGGATCCATGAGATGGATACATATAAGAAAAATATAAAAGAAACAATAGGACAGAGACGGTAGGCACGTTGGTGCGCTTATGCACTACAGACCACTTAGGAAAGGGGTGAGGTCAATAGTAGACAGTCTAAGGGTTTTTTTTTTTGAGACTGGCATTTCTGTCGGCACCAATTCTTGGTGGGAAG